CCAGCGAGCGGGCGGGTGCGGCGCGACCTGGGGGGATGTCTCGGCGGACGCGCGGGTGAGCAAAGCTGGGCGGGCTGAGGGCCCTTGGCCCTACCATCCCCCTCCCACCGCCACCCTGTTCCACCGCCACCCACACCCCGTTCCATCCCACCTCCTCCCGGCGCCACCGCGCGCGGCCGGGGCCAGGGGGGCTTCCGCCGGGCATGTTGAGCCCTGGTTGACCCCAGGCTGGGGCGCGCGCCAAGCCAGGGGTCTCTTGGGGCCGCCAGCTCGGCTCCCCGGGCCTGCTGGGTGCAGGAGGCCGGGCGGGCGAACCTCTCGGGGCCCGGGCCAGGCCCTGCGTGATGTCATTTTTGTCTCCCGCCTAATTGCGGGGTGGGGGTGGGACGGCCGGTGTCAGCTGGCAGGACCTTTACTGGGCAGGAAGGCGACCCCCGGAGAGAGAAAGTGCCTCCCCAAGACTCCGCGAGCTGGAGGCTAAAGTTTGCAAGACACTTGTTCAAGCCTCAGTTTTGACTCCCCATTCCCCGGCAAGCCTTTCTCCCCAGCAAGCCCCAAGCCCTCTCCCCCGGGCTCGGAAAGGGGGATCTTTTGTCTCCCCAACCAGGGCTCCGGGCCCCAGCCTGGCGGCTCTCCGAGCCCTTTCTTTGTACTCCAGGCTGGGAGCTCTGGCAACTGGGCTTGAAGACGAGAGACCGAGGGCTTCCCCAGCCTGTTCGGGGCCAGAGGCAGGACTCTGAGCTCCATCTTACTCGGTCCCCTGGGAGTAACGTGGCAGTGGGGCCCGGAGCCCGGTCTGAGGGCTCCCGTGCCTGCTTCCCACCTGTGCACGCGGGGCCTGAACTCTGGGTGTCCTGGGGGACAGTGCCAGCCTGCCCTCTGCCCTCTTTGGGAAAGGGCAGCCCAGATGAAAACCAGGCAGGCGTTTGCCTTCTGCGGCCCAGGCTGTGGACCTGTGAATTGCGCCTGCCGGCTTTTCCCAATTCCTCTCTACCGGGAAGCCGGCCAGAGTGCGTGTGGCCCGGCCTGTACCCTGGGACTCCACAGTTTGGGCCACTTGTTAAACCCTCTCCTGCCCCAGTGCCCTGTTCGTGCTCAGTGCTCAGCCCCTGACTCAGCCGGCCCTGGAGCAGAGCCCAGCGCATGGAGGGACGGGTGTACAGGATAGGAAATGGTTGCTACAATTTACTTGGCTTCTGCTTTCTCAGCTGGCATTTCCAGGTGAGAACTTGAAGGTGCAGAATGAAGGAGGTCCTGGGCCTTGCTGTGTGGACGTGGGGAGTAAACCCCGTGTACCACAGTTCCCACATCTATGAAATGGGAATCATTGAGTGACAGTGTGTGGGGAGTAGGCAGCAACATGTCGTGGGTGATAAAAATGTCTCCCCTTATCTCCCAGCTGTCAAGAGACGCCGAGATGCTGTCCTCACCTAACAATATTGAGCCCCAGAGAGGATCCACGTAAAACTGATTCATAACGAACAACTCGATCGAGCAGGGTAGAACTGTCCCTGTGGGAAGCCGAGGCTGTCAATCTTTATTACGGGAGCAGAGAGCCTCGTCTTTTTCATGAGGAGCGGCTAATAGTTTCCAACACCTAACCCTTATGGTTGGCAGCCTAACTTATAACCTACTACGCCACCAGGGCTCTTTGAAGACACACTTGCAGAGCTTCTGAGAAGCAGAATTGGTGAGGCATCTGAATAGTTGATCCATATATATATATATTTTTTTTTTATTGTGGAAAAATAGCACATTTGTCTCGTCATTTTTTGATCACTATTCATGGATATTCATTACACGCTTCATGTTCAATGTCATCATGCTTCATCCCCTTTAAAAGAAGCTGTGCCCCTTAAACAATGAGTTGGCCTTAGCGCCAGCTTCAAGCCAGTGCCATGGGATGGTGGAGCCTTGGTGGCACACTGGGTCAGGGCTGGACCCAGCAGCTCCGTGGGAGAGAGACTGGTGATCCGTATCCAGAAAGATTGTCCATGTGTGCCCTGGATCCCGACTCACGAGCCCCTTGTGACAGGGGAGCTGCCCCAGAGGGTTCCCAGGATGCACACTGGCCACAGCATTCTCTCCGAGCGGCTGGTGGGTTTGAACCCCTGACCTTTTGGTTAGCAGCCCAGCACGAAGCTGTGGCCCCTGGGCTCCTTCCTTAGCAGCCTTGGGAACACCATTGAGCAGTTACCCTCTCTTACAGAGGTGCTGTGGGTGACATCCAGCAACAATAGCCCCTTGCAATGGGGTGGGAGTGACAGGGTGAGGCTGGGTTCCACACCCACACACTGGGTGGTACCTCCTAAGGCCAGAAAATTTACATTAACTAACAGTTCTCAGTTGATAGGCCAAACCTAGACTGGCATTCTACCTGGCAATTTCCTGAGCCTCTCAGCCCTGGCTCTGAGACAAAGGAGCCTACTTTGGGAGATAGGATTTTCCCTGGGAAGCCTCCACTGGGTGACTCCAGAGAACCAGGCCAAGACCTGGAGATAAAGTGTGTGGAGGGTGGGGAGTGTGCTTAAGGAGGGAAGCTTTCTTACTGGTGCCCCAAGTCTCCGAGTCTAAGTAGTGCAGGGAGGGCGTGTTTTTTTCCCAGTCAACAAAGTCAGATTGGGAGCCTCGCTCCTGCAGGTGATCCGACGCAGGTCCTGTGGTGTGGAGTGGGAGAGGGATCCTAGGCTTCCATGAACACCCGAGGACCTTGGAGGTGGAGAGAGTGTGGACGCCCGATCACTGGGAGGCTTCTCGAGCTTCTTGCAGACCTGCCTGATGGGGAAGGGAATCATCCAGAGGTCCCAGCTGCCTGGGCTCTGGTGGTCTCCCAGCAAACTGCTGGGGCAGTCAAGGGTTGGAAGGAGGGGAGTAAGAAATGGAAATGGTTGCTAGAAAATGAATTCAAGGCTTGCCTTTAAGAATCTACTCCTTTTTAAGCTCCGGTCTGAACCCCAGGGCTAGATGACTGCCTACAGCAAGCTGCAGCCGTCACTGCCCCAAACAGAAGAGTCTCGAGAGTCAAAGCTTTGCCTCCCAAGCCTTCAGCTTTACAGAATCTCTGCCAGGGAGGGGTGTGTGTGCAGGGGTGGGGTGGGGATGTCGGCATCTCATGAAAGCGAGCGAGTTGTCATTGCAAAAATACCATGCGTAGTAATCATAATGATGGTAAACTCTTATTTTGTCATGTAGCTTTCAAAGTCATTGGGATTTATTCCCTTAAAAACAGCTATAATCCCATTGAACGAAAAACTTTTAAAAGAGAGGAGAGTGTATCAATTTTCATTTTCAAAAGCCAAGCTTTCCTCCCCAAGCCTTCCCCATGCCTTGACTGGCTGCTCCCAGCCCACAGTGCCTGTTTGTCTTGTGGGGGCTCATGGCCTGACCCTTAGCATGTTCTCCCTACAGAGAGGAGCTGGAGGAGCCACACTGCCAGGACACAGACTCAGATGTGCCCGAGCCGAGGGACAGCAAGTGCAAGGTCAAGTGGACCCATGAGGAGGTGAGTGCTACAAGAACTGACCGTGGGCTTTCTGCCTGATACCCCACCACTGGGAGGAAGAGGTAGAGGGTGAGGGTGTGAAGCAGTTGAGTGGGTCCTGTGACTCTCCTCCACGTAGCATCTAAACATTCTTGGGGACTCATTTCTGAGGCCCCTTGGGGCGTGTCTGTGTCCCTCAGACCTCAAAGCCGGCAGTTGCCCTGTCTGCAGTCGCTGGCATGTGCTGCTTAGTGGCATGTTGCAGCGCACCCTCCTGTTTCTCTTTTAGATGATTGTATTTGATCTTGTGGCATCGAGTCTCAACAATATAAAACATAAAGCAAAAATAAAGGGATGCTTTTGGTTGGATTCAAATGATGTATCACTAAAGGTGTGGCCAGAAGAAAATCCATTTAGAGTTTTCCTTTTGCTTTATTCATTTTATGTTGTTGATAGCTTCTATGCGTGCTATTTGGTGACAGTCCGTACACTCCGTCCTCCTCCTCCTGTTTACGCTGAGCCTCCACAAACCCACTGCCCCCAAGGTTCCTGTCTCAGCTGGCTCTTGTCACTTTGACCCCAGATAGTTCAGAAGAGAGGAAAATGCTCAAGGCAGGCATGGTTTACTAGTTCAGCTAAACCGCTGTGTGGTTTTAAGACTTTGGGGCATATTTTTTGTTCAATTTTTAAAGATTATCTCGGGAGCAGTTCCCGGGGTCCATCCAACCTTGTTGGGGCTGTGAAGTCTGGCGTTCCTGTCAGTGTGAAATTCTGCGTTTCCCCCCTTTGGTCAGGAGTTCTCTATGGAACCCTTGGTCAAAAGGTTCTGTAGTGGGGACACCGTCCAGTTCTTCTGGTCTCCTGGCAGAGGAGGCCCTTGCTGCTGGAGGCAAATAGCCACACATTTCACATCCTCCACCTATTCGCGATCATCTGTGACCGGGTGGTAGGACAGAAACATCAAACACGTTATCAGACCAATTCACTAGGCTTTGTAGGCTTTGAGCCCCTGGCTCTAAACTTGCACCCCCAAGGACCACCGTGAGGTGTTTGTTCCACCCGAACCACAACTGCTTCTGAGTTAATTCCCATTCATAGCAACCTTACACAGGATTTCCAGGACTGTGAATGTTTACCTTTATGGAAGCTGACGGGCTCATCTTTTTCCTGTGGAGTCCCTGGTGGGCAACTATATCTCTCACACAGCATTTGGCAATTCGCCGTTCTACAGGTGTGTAGCTTATTGATAGCAGTTGTAATTAGCTGTGTAACCCTACCTTTCTGTGATTTTTTTTTTTCTAAATCACTGATTGCTGCCCCCTTCACCACCGCACTTTCTTTTCCCCCTTTGTCCCGTCCCTTACAACTACTGATAATTTCACAAAGGTTGTGAAAAAAATTCTGTTCTCTTTTAATTCCATCTCCATCAACTTTCTGAGATCTATTTGCCTTTGATGATCTTCCATGAGGCCATGTGCATCCTTTGTGACTGGGTTACTTTGCTCAGTATGACTGCCTTCCGGCACCATCCGTGTCCTGACTTCGGCTTCCTACTGATGGTATTCCCTTGTGTCGGGTCTCCGTCTCTACTTCTCCACTTGACCTCTCTGGGTTCTAATATCCATTGCCATGGCTACACAGAACTCACAGGTAAAATTCATGATTAAAGAGTTTATTATGGAAGTTAACAAGTTGCAATGCCACTGAGACATGCTCAGGGTTGAGTTGTTTATCAGGATTGTTACGAAGTTTTATCAGGTCTGCTAATAAATGCCCAAAGGGGCAAACCACTCATCTATAAGCCTCAGCCTGAAAGCGTTCAGCTTTAACTCCAGGGGTTAGCAAGCCCAACTTCCGGAATTAAGTGCCCAGAGGCACCTGACTCCAATAAGCTTCAGCCAGAAGGTGCTCGGCTCCATCTCTGTGGGTAAGTCCAATTTCCCCAATTAACTGCCCAGAGGCACTCTACTCCCATAAGCTCAGCCCAAAGGCATTCAGCTTTACCTCTGTGGGTCTGGGTCAGCAAGTCCAATTTCCCCAATTAAGTGCCTAGAGCGCCTCACTGCAGCCAGGCTCTGACACAAAAGCACTCAGTTTACTTGCTCTGGGTTGGGCAGTTTGTCTCCAACACGGGCTCTGGCTCCTGGTTGTGTTGATGTTGCTCTGATGTTGTAGCCCTTACCAGGCTTTAGGAGGCTGACTTCGCAGGGATCTCGGGTGCAGAGGACACGCTCCACTCCTTGCTTTTGATGCTACTAAGATCCTTCTTGCTTCTCGAGGGCTCAGTTTGTAATGGCAGGGCAGCGCTCCAGGGAATCCTGTCTGTTTGCAGTAACAGGTGAATCAGTATCTTGCCCCACTTCCTTACCAGACCCAAGCAGAGGGAGCTGGTTGGGTGGGAGTTAGAGACCGGCTAGAAAAACCACTTTAATAATTCCCTGCTTCTGCACATTTTCCACCGTTGGTTTATCCGTTCATCTGTTGATGGATGTCTAGGTTGCTTCCTTCTTTGGGCTGTTGTCCGTCCTGCTGTAATGAACCCTGGTGCCTACGTCTGAGTTTCTACTTCCACGTCGTTCAGATACATGCCAGGAGTGGAATTGCTGGGTCCTGTGGCAGTTCTCTCTAGCTTTTTGAGAGGCTGCCACTCGGTGTCACAGTGGCTGCCCCATGTTGCGTCCCTACCAGCAAAAGGATAAGGGATCGAGCTTCCCACATGCTTGCCGGTGTTTGCTACTGTGATTTCTGTTTCTTCTTCGTTGACAACCTGGTGGGCGTGAAAGGCATCTCATAGGAGTTTTGGTTTGCATCTCATGGCTAATGACGCTGAACATCTGTTCAAGTGCTTGATGGCCATTTGAATGTGCTCCCTGGTGAAATGCCTGTTCAAGGAGTCCTTTGCACGTTTGGTGGTTGGGCTATTGGCATTTTGGTTAAGTTGTAGACGTTTTATGAATCTTTGATTATTAGATTCTTTTTGGATATGTGGTTTCTGAAGATTCTCTCCTAGTTGGTAGCTTGTCTTTTTTAAAAAAAATCGTTTTATTAGGGGCTCATACAACTCTTATCACAATCCATACATACATCAATTGTGTAAAGCACATTTGTGCATCCATTGCCCTCATCATTCTCAAAACATTTGCTCGCCACTTAAGCCCCTGGCATCAGGTCCTCATTTTTATCCCCCCCTCCCTGCTCCCCCCTCCCTCATGAAC